TAGAGGTTAGAAGTCATTATTAAATGCTGACCAACTCTGTAATTTTGAACTTACTTTGTTTTTTAATTTAAAACATAAATCAGGTATAGCTTTTTAACATTTGCCGTGCTCTATAGCTCTTTCGTTTATTCAGAACTTAAGAATTTTTTTTGTTTCAGCTCAAGCTTATTTTTTTCTACGTATAAAAAACGTTTGTGCTAGAGAAGAAAAATGTTCATCGTGATATATGTTAGATAAAATGTTTCCAGTTAGGCCTGATCTGTCTTTTTTTTTTACCTGAAGAATTACAAAGGTTTAAATGTTGATTGTATTCAATGTTTTTTGGTTTTTGTTCGAGTTGGTAATGATCCTTGAGTGGCTTCTTCGGTACTTGATGTATCTTTTAAACTGAGTCAATAATTTTATGAATACCAAAAGGTTAATTTTTTTGTGATTCAAAGTAACAGTTTTATCAAGCTTAGTTTACATAAGGTTATCTCCGATAAACTCTTAATGAAAAGATTTGTTTGTTTTTTTTTCCCTGGAAGTTTAAATGTAACTGAATCTTTATTCCATTTTTTTTGTAAGTATTATTGTGAAATAAAATAATTTTTACAAGAATCCATAACAGCAATGTGAAGTTTTCTCTACATCCCAGAGGGAAGAATTACTCTGACATAAGAAATTGTGTCTGTTAATGATCATAATGTGTACAGAAAGGTACCGTAGTGCAAGTAGCACCTCACAATATCCGTAAGAATAATTTTGTGTGCACTTGTTAGATATTTATTAACCCTCGAAATGGCTGTTGAACAAATGTTACAGAAATGATACGTTCTAAGTTTGTATATGTGCAGTATAAATTATAAAAAAAAGTTATGGCCTTGTAGCCATCTCTTGGTAAAATATTGTACTTTAACATTCCTGGTCAATATTTTTATTTCCAAAAATCATTGCAATTAATGGATGCTGTAGAATACGACAATATTTCTAAAATAATGCAATTTTGAAAAATGATTTTCAGAAATTCATCCCAAAGTTTATTTTAATTAACCTCTGTAGTTATACTTAGTATGTTAATATTTATCCAGATTTACAATGCTAAAATCCAGAGTTGGATTCCTTGCTGTCAACAGAGTGCGGATATCACGTTTTGTACTTTTGCACTATAAGCCAACATCAACCAAATTTTATTTTGAGTTTGCTTACTGATTATAAGTATTATTTTATTATAAGTCATGGCTGTAACTTGTAATGAAATAACAACCAAATTTATTTAGTACATTTTTATTGATGTTTTTGTACTTAATGATATAAAGTAACATTTTCTGAATAAGCCTAACCTAATGAATTTCAAACCAATGTGATGTATCGTCTGCAAAATAAGCAGGACTAGTCAAATTGAATCATAATAGTTGTGAGAATACAACGCTAGAACCCAGGTTTCGATACCAGTGGTGGCCAGAGCCCATTGTGTAGCTTTGTGCTTAATTTAAAACAAATCTTGTGAGAAATGAGCACTCAGACCTAACGTGTCTTATATATGGTTTTATAAATATAGTACGACTTCTTTTGATTCCTTATCTTTACACACAAACAAAAATAGGTTTATGGAACGAACTGAAAATGAAGTTTTTTATTCAGTGCAAACTTAAAGTCAAACCCAAAACTTTTAATAGGTTTACAATATAGCCCAGTAGAACCTTTAAAATGCTGCTAAAACATTACATAATCCACAGGAGGTTAGAACCCCTTTTATTTGAATACTTAGAGGATAGGACATAAAGTGGTTACAGTTGATTGTCATATCATCATTGTATACAAATAACAATATCAAAATGACATTAGTTTTGCTAATATCATAAACCATAGAAATGTTGTCTGAAATGTTAGTCATATACATATTACTTGAAATGTTGACCTGATAATTACTAATATTTTTCTCTGTTGACCAACAGTAAAGTTTTTATCATCATGATCTTATCCATACTCGGCTGAATAAAGAATGAATTTATAAACGTAATCTGTTGACTATTAGTATTTAATCACTAGAAACTTAATATTTGAAACAAGTAAATTTCAATTAATAATAATAAAATTAAAACAATTATTTGTTCTATTGTGTGTGTGGCGCTACCTATCAAGTGCTACTGTACTACTGTTTGCATGGCTCAATAATTATCACACCAGTAATGATTCCCAGTTTGCTCCAGAAGAAGAAAGGTCCACATTTCAAAAGCGTGCGGGTTATAGTTTTTTTTTTTTTTTTTCGCATCTATTATCATACCCTAGATTTGCAGTTCACATTTCAGGTCCAGCTACTGCGGACACATACAAAAAAATATCAGCATGGGATTGTGGGTATATTATAATACTGGCGGTTACTCTCCGCTATTGGAAATGAGTGTCGTCCTCTAGCTGCTTTCTCTCAATCTATCAGTTCAAAAATCAAGGATCTAGAAGCGTCATTCTACAAAAAGCTTTGGAGGGGTGGGCAAAGAACGCTGATCTCGTGTAGACCCCCCAGTCCAGTTGGAGGCCCTATGTTATGCATACCTTGTGTATACGTATTAATCCAAGTTGACTATTAATGCCTTACAGAAACTGCCATTTCCCCTCTTGAACCTGGGGGACTGCTTCTTTAGCTCCCCCTCGATCAAGTGATGCCCCTGGTGAATATCCGAAAAAAAAACAATTTACCCTGCAATATGGCATTAAGATGTACCTCGATAATACTTATGAATATGTTCTATATATTAACTGAAGTGTAAAATTGTGATCGGTATTCGTATTAAAACACTCAAATGTAATTTAAAATCATAAATAATATTCAACGTTAAACTGGTACACAACTAAAAACATTTTATTTAGGGCTATCTATGGCCTTCAAAAAGTTGACGACTACATGTTTCGACGTTGAGGATGACGTTTTAACATCGAAACATGTAGAGTCGTCAACTTTTGGAAGGCCATAGATAGGCCTAAATAAAATGTTTTTAACTGTATACCAGTTTAACGTTGAATATTATTTATGATTTTAACTTTATACACAAGTGCCAAATACTATAATTAACTCTAATGTAATGTTTTGGTTGGCTTACATATAACTAAATTCATGAAGGATATTTTTTTGCCAAAGGGAAAATAGTGTGAAGTACTATGCTCACTGATATCCCTATTTGCATATGTAAAATAGCATCCCAAAGCTCATGTAAGTATTGTAAAGAATCCAAAGTAAGCATGGGCGTCAAACTTTGTTTGTAGTTGGGAGGGGTGGGAGGAAGGCGTATTGAATGTTTTTGAAGAAAGCTTTAGATAGAGGCCTAATTTATTGTTTGTTTCCTTACTTCCGCTGCAACAGACCAATTTTGTCGAATTCTTGGCTCATTAGTGTTGTTTGGAAGAACGAAGCAAATAAATAAATAAATTTAAACAAACGCATTTCATCACTATATGAGGCCTACTTCATTTATTGGTTTCGTTCTTCTAAGCAAAACTGGTTTGTTGCAGCTTGTGTAGAGAATCAAAGAATAGGCGTCTACATAATCTTTTCTTTACGAAATGTACATTTTGGTGAAGAAAAGAAATTAACAAATAAGTAAATCACAGTAAGCTTATTAATAGGTAAATTGTTAAATTCAGAAAACATGGAAATCTCCAGTGTGATAGCCTTGTTTTCTAAACAAAATCCTATAAGCAATAAAATCCAAAATGTAATTAACACGATTTTATGAAACCCTGCATGATTATGAGACAGTCCCTAGTATTCATTATCCACTAGAAACATTTCCACGAAATTACTTTATTATAAAATCTGGTAAACATTCTAATTATATGTGGTTTTAAGATAAATATGTACCAGATACGGATTTTAATTTTGACGGAACTTGTCGTGATATCGCTACCAGCATCACGGGCCGCTTTCAATGCATTCACGCATATTAAATAAAAGCTGGTCATCAAGTTAAAAAGTCAACGGACTGACGTAATACCGCCTCAGAGCTTGTGAGTCAACGATGCGAATATCCTACTAATACTATGTTTTTGTTTCTTTTTAGAAATAGTATTACTTGTTTAAAATTCACAACGACTAAACCATAGCAGAAAAGTAATTGAATCTGTTTTTGGATTTTATTTTCAGTCAAGCGTAAGTACATTTTTTAAGACATTTTTTCTAAGTTAAGATTTTATTACATGATGAATAAGAAGATAGAAAAAAATTCACGAAGTGTGCAGTTTGAATTTAAAACATTGAAGAGTTGTACTTTTAAGTTTAATATTTTATATTCTATTTTTACGTAACATTTATTTTCATGCTTGTCTTTAACTAATTCAACAATGAAAAAATAACCATTAATACAGAAATTTAGAAAGAAATAACAATACAAAATTTATATTCCAAATTATTTTAAACATTCTAACTAATGTGTATTAATAACACCTATTATAATAGTATGAAGAAAAAATAAGGCGTATATTACTTGCAACACATAAATAAATAAAACAGTTTTTGCTTTTTAAACCACAGACTTCACAAATATATATAATATATTCAACCTAAAAATACTTGTATGCATTCATTTATCAGTAGTGCAGATTCAGCATGAAACTAGTAGAAATTATAATGTTTATTGTGGAATTGTAGTGTTTCTTTGAATTATTTTCACGTTGTTTAGTTTAACATTTGTTTGTTTTTTTCTTATAACACTACTGTGGCTTATCTTAAAGTTTTTAAGAACAACCTTATGTTTTTGTTTTACAAGTAAACTGGGAAATAGTTATAATGTTTTAACAACTCTGTTTTATTTGATTATAGTATTTAATTTATCGGTTTCTTCAAATGTTGTTAGGACGTGGAACTAGTGAGAGGTTAAATTAGGTTTATGTAGTATTTATATGCAGATCTCAATTTGTAAGTTACTCAACACCCATTGTTTTTATTTTGTGTTGCAAAGTATTACTCTAGATAAAACTTCTCATTAAAAAAAATCCAATTGAAATATTTTAAATTACTGGATAAAAAGTTTTTAAATTATTTTCTGTTTTTTTTTTCTTCTAATTTTATTGCCAAGATAACAAAAGTTTGAATAAGGGAACATTTTTTCCAAAGTTTCAGTACTTTTTTTATCATTAATATTTCCAAACAGAATATTTAAACTATCCTAATTTTATGTATGATTCATGTTACTTATCTCTTTCAATTCTCAGGAAGAGAAGTATTAATATATCTGTTTCCAAACCAATTTTTCATGTTTTGTCATAAATATCAGACTCGATAATAACTGACATCCAGTGTGTAGCTTTGTCAAAACGTGTTTGTAAGAAAAGATATACAATCACAGGATTGTTTTCATCAGTATAAGGAAAAGCCTTATAAAAAAAATTATGAAGTTAGTGATTTAAAAAATTGCTCTCTGATCTTCCTCAGATACATTTCTATGTTCTGTGTGTACTGTTAACTTTATATTTGCTCTTAACATAAGTGTATAGAAAGTGCTAAAATTATGTTCACTGTTTCATTATTTTATGTGCTTCTCTTTGTTAATCATACTTTGGTGTACTGGGCCCTTTTTGTGACCCATACCATCCCACCAGCACTGACAGTCATGTATGACCCATGGGGAGGAGAGGGGGATCATAATGGTTGCCCGAGGGGGCCTGTGTGCCATGTCACAAAGGCCAGTCTGCTTCTCTTGTTTATTTCATAACATGTTATGTGAGGTGAATTACTGTATAAAATGTGATATATTAACATATCTTGGAGAAACAGATGAGACATATTTAATGAAGTAACTTTTTTTTAAGTTTATATCAAATATCCTTTTGCTCAAGAAATTTAAACTTTAGTTGTGAATTTATTGTAGAAGTATAATTGTTTCTAGCAGTCAAAGGTCATTAATATTTTACATGCAATCAGTTTAGAATTTACTGTTCTTGAATCAGGAAGTACGATGTTAGAAGTTAAATATGTACTCAATCATTCATTGACTTTTCTGGTAGAAAAAACTCAGCTTGAAGATTGTCTTTACCTAAATTGCTGATTTGTTTTGATGTCTGTGTTCAGGATCATTTACTATATTAAGTTGTTTTAGTTTACCATATTAAGTTGTTTTAATTTACCATATTAAGATGTTTTAAATTACCATAATAAGATGTTTTAAATTACCATATTAAGTTGTTTTAAATTACCATATTAAGTTGTTTAATTCACCATATTAAGATGTTTTAATTCACCATATTAAGATGTTTTAATTTACCATATTAAGTTGTTTTAATTTACCATATTAAGTTGTTTTAATTTACCACATTAAGATGTTTTAATTTACCATATTAAGTTGTTTTAATTTACCATATTAAGTTGTGAGATCTTGATTTGTTTTATTCTGGTTCCACTTGGTTCTCTCTACGAGTTGAGAGAATTTGTCATTTAAAGACTGATAAGACAACCTGATAAACGAAATTGCATCTGTAATCTGTTGGTTCGTGCTACATTTTTATAAGAGAGTTATTTCAACGAGAAATATTTCCTGTCTTATTTTAAATTTCATTTATAAACTTTATTATTCTATATAAGCTACTCCTGTCTTGTAAAACAAAAAAACTCTGTGTTTGTGTAAAGATAAATCATCTTCTTCAATCAACTCTCCTTATAGGAGAAGCCTTGCTTTTAAACTTCAGCAAGATGAATGTCAATACTGACAAAAGTCAGCAAACCCAGCCTTCGAGAAGTACACGTAAAGAACACCACAATGTTGAAATGGACAGAGTAAGTTTCTGGTAATTATTAGTGTAATAACAACTTTTCGTGTTAGTACTTCATGTTATTCACGTATTAAATAAGTTAGTTCTCAATGCTACAAAGTTTCTAACATCCATAAAAACCACACAATTACACTTTTCTGAAGAAAGAAACAAAAACAAATGTAATCATCCTTTAGAAGAAGTATCTTCCAACAGTCGAGCTAAAATTTTATAGTTTTGGAAGAGTTGTTTTTTAATTTAATTAAATATCGTATCAAGTGCTTATACAATTTATATTTACATAATTTCTTTAGCTTTTGTTAGAGTACATTTCTTAGGCTAAAAGAGCTTAGACTATTAACAATATGCTTTCTTTCTGATACACTGAATATTTGTTTCTTCTACAGGTTTGGCGGCCTATCTTTGAAAAGGTAAGGTTCTTTACAATTTTAGCTTTGATACATTTCAGTGATAAAAAATTACAGGATACTGAATAAACACTCATACATAAGATCACATCAGCACCTGTTTCTTACTTGTCTCCACTGTAAAGTAACTACAAGGTTTAATTATAAGTAAAGTAGTACAATACCACCATAAGGTTTGTAGTCAAATGAGGGTTGGCTGCACCATTGTGTCACATGTGGGTTTTATAACACAGATTATTAGTAACTTGTTGCCACTATGTAATTTATGACGTGTGTATTTAGAAAGTGAGAAACGATATTAAAAGTTGCTACTTCATCCTTGCCGATTTAAAGCTTCTTTTAGAGAGGATCGACTCTAAATTTTGTAAGATATTTTAAAATGTGTTTTAAGATGTCATAGTACTAACTAATTATACACACATACAATATTACGTTATCATTACACTTACTTCATGACTATTATACACACATACAATATTACGTTATCATTACAC